TCCCCCGGGCAGCCCCCATTCAACAGGTTGCCCTGGTCTCCCGGGCCGCCGGCCCCATCGGGCTGCCTCCTTAGTTCCTTTCCCCCCGTCTCCCGGGTCCCCCGCTTGCAGTTTCCTTTCCTCCTCCTTCCCCCCCGCCACCCCCCCGTCTCTCGCAGGTTGCCGCCCCTCAATTACTCTGTTAGAATCTCCGGGGGTGGAGGGGGGAAACTTGGGTGCTCTCCACCCCTGTTGCAGGCATGAGTGGGTCTGTGCACGGTGCCATCTCCCACCGCCCCCCCCATCCCCCGGGTGCAGGACTGGAGGGGACTAACTGGTGGCGATGGAGAGGAGGGGGGGCGCCCCCGGGAAAGCGGCGAAGCCAGAGGTGCCTCCCCGGCCCAAACCAGGGTGGTCCCCCCCTCGCGCGCCCCTTCTCCGCCCATCGTTCTGGGGAGCCCTGTTTTCCCAGTCCACCTCGGTTCCGTTTCGGTTTATTAATCCTCACCCAAGGATATTTTCCCATTGATTTTTAGAGAGAGTGGAAGAGAATTGGGTGGAGCCCGCGCAGGATGTGAACAGAAAAGAGAGCAAAAATGTGAATTAATAGACCACGCACGGGAGCCGCCGCTCCCTCCCGGGCCCCTCCTCCTTTTCCTGTGTGTAGTGTATAGCCGCCGGGTGCGTGTGTGGACCCGTTTTCTTTGATTTCTTTCCCTTTCTAGTTTTTCCCCTTCCTCCGCCCCCCCCCCGCAAAAAAGTAAGAGTTTTTCATTTTTTAATTTTTTAATTACAAGATTTACGTACATATAAAACTTTGCTTAGGTTCTTACACATTTCCCTGGAAATAACTGGCTGCTAAAATGCCATTGCAAACAGTTGCCATTAATTTACTTCTTGGGTTCAAGCAAGTTATTGTTTGGAGGCTGCAGGGAATATGGAAAACCATGTGTGTGTAAAATCCCCCCACCCCCACCCCCAGTCTTCTGGGAAGGATATAGGGTTGGTACTTGGAGGAGCTAAATTCTGGTCCTTTCTCTACAATAGTTATTTGTGTTTTTTTATGTGACCATGCAGTGGAACGTGTACATGTTCTCCTACCCCAGTGGTCGGCAAACTCACTAGTCAACAGAGCCAAATACCAACAGTACAACGATTGAAATTTCTTTTGAGGGCCAAATTTTTTAAACTTAAACTATATAGATAGGTACACTGTTATTCACTTAATTAGGGTACTCCTAAGGCTTAGGAAGAGCCACACTCAAGGGGCCAAAGAGCCGCATGTGGCTCGAGAGCCCCGGTTTGCCAACCACTGTCCTACCCCATCTTACTGACTTTGAGTTGCCTGTAGTTGCAAAAGGCCGAGAGAACAGCCCTGCTCTGGGCGGTTCTGTCATGCGTATTGTTTGATTTGCACTTTCACTTGATATCACTTGCTCTTGCAACTACTCGTGAGCATATTATTCTCATTTTACAAAAAGAGGAAACAGAAGCTGGGATTAAGCAGACTACCCAGGGTCCCAGTACTGTACCGCTGAAATCTGAGGTTTTGCAAAAATTCCCAATCCTGTCTGCTCTGCTCCATCGTATTTAAGACACTTTGTCTAAGATGTGTCGTGTGTGTAACTTGGGAAATGAGATTTTCTTCATTACCTAAGAACATGCCCTTCCATACTCTTGCCAGTTAGGCAGTGAGCACCTATGTGGGTCCTCATACTGGGTGTTTGCCAGGATTGCAGACCCTGACGTGGAAAGCTGCCTCTCGCTGTGATGTGGTGGGACCCTGCAGCTGTTGGCATTTAGCAGCGGGGCTCACAGTGCGGAGTGCAGATTACCATGTCCAATTGAACTTACAAAGGAAAGTTGAGTATGCAAGCTGTTAGCTAGCCCTGAGGAACAGGCACATACAAAGCCGTTGTTGGACCTCCGTATCAGCTTTTTAACTTCATCATTCAGAATAGTTCTCAGATTTTAAAAACTGCCAGTGTGATGATTGGCTTAAATTTTATAGATGTGTAAAAACGAGGCTACGGATAAAATGGGGTTGAAATGGTCGAAGCAGCGCAATTTCCAATAGCTGAGATCTGGAAACAGCCCAAGTGCCCATCAGGAGACGAGTGGATAGAAAAGCTGTGGGACATTGACCCCACGGAATACTATGCAGCCGTGAAAAAGAAGGATCTCTTACCCTTTGAGACAGCATGGAGGGACCTGGAGAGTATCATGCTAAGTGACATACGCCATTCAGAGAAAGACAAGTGTCACATGATCTCACTCATATGAACAAAATAGATCCAGAGACAGAAGCATGGACCAAACTCTGGAATCTCAGAGGAAAGGTGGGGGAGGGTGGATGGGTGGGAAGAGATAGTGGACCAAATTCTGGAATCTCACAGGAAAGGCGGGGGAGGGTGGATGGGTGGGAAGAGATCAACCAAAGACCTTGTATGCATATATGCATAACCCATGGACACAGACCGTAGGGTGGTGAAGGCCTAGGGTGGGGCAAGCTAGAAAGGGTTAATGGGAAGAAAAGGAGGTATATGGAATACTGT